GACAAGGACAAGAGGCAGCAGCTGACTTAGGTCCAGGGAAGACTGAGATCATTCTGACTGGCTGAGAGAAGCAGCTGGAAGCAATGATGAGGGTGAAATCTACCTCTGACTGAGGAGGCGTCTCCTATTTGTGACTGAAGTGATTGTAAGCAGTTCAACATAAAACAGTATTTTTGGCAGAAAGACCACCACTCCTGTATAACAATCTGCACTGACTGCCTATTGGTTTCTGGGTGGAGCTCAAAAACATTCAAGCCAAAGTGGTAAGGAAAAAATAGATAAAAAGAGGTTGCAATGGCTGTAGTCCTGTTATTAAAATTAATCATTTTATAGAAGCACCTTTTGAGGGGAGAGATGCTAAATTAATTTACAGAAAAAATTAGTCAAGCCACAGATACAAGACAAGGGGCGAAAAATGAGAGAGAAAAATCCTTTAACAATACATTTTAAAATCCTGCAACAAAGTAATTATATGCCCTACATTATCATGATGTAGATATTCAGTCAAAGAAAACATGCTGTAGTGTAGGGTTTCCCAATTCCCGGGCCGCAGCTGAGTACTGAGCCATGAAGGGTCAGTTGCTGGTCCATAGGAGGGCTGGCTGCCGGACTGGAAGTGACCGAGGACCAGCAAACCGCAGACTGGAAGTGACCGGCATACTGAGGACCGACAGCCAACCCTTTTTTATGCTGAACCCCTGCTGTAGTGAAGCTTAATGGTTTTTCTTTCCATCTTTTCTTACCACAGTGAGTGACTGTGAAATGGTTTGGTAAATCAAACACCTATGGATTACTACCACCAACAGTATTAACTGAAAGTTAAAGGGCTCACTGTACAAACAAGCTCAAAAAATATCTTTTTGGGAAGAGAGTTTTATTCATACCTCCATTTTATATCTATGAAAAGCTTTGGTTAAACAGTATAGCTTAGTGGCAAACAAGAAAATCCTAACAGACTAAAGGATTTAAACACAACTGTTTCTCATCCATATATGATTCCGAGATTCCTGGAGCCTATCATTTTACAGTTAGTGTTCTATATTTTAGCTCTAATGCTTTCCTATTGTACCAGGATATCTTAAGTCCATGAATAAAAATCTGAAGTCCCAGTTCTGTGAAGCCTTACTCACATGCTTAACTTCGAGTTCAGTGGAATTGGTCAAGTTCTTAAACACAAGATGCAAGAATCAGGGCCAAAGGAAGGAGACAGTAGTAAGGCACAAGGCCAAGATTTTTGCATAATTGAAGAACATTTAAAATTACAGGAAAATACCAAAATTGCTGAACATCTCCCTGCAGGTGCAGAGCTTGATTTGCCAACATGGAGAACCTTGAGCTGCCTCCAAACAGAGGTCGGTAAGACTAGAGTCAACATGCAACTATGGTGAGACTCTAACAACACAAAAACCATGTATTAATCTGGAGGAAACTCACAGATTCCAGAACACTTCCTGGCCTGCCCACATATGGGGGAAACCATGCATCAATGAGGACCCCGCTAAGGCTACTGATTGAGCAACAGTATGCACCTGTCCTTGGACTCAAATTTGAACATGGAGACAGGACACAAGACAACAGGAAAATAAAACAAAACACTGTGCCAATTTCCAATAAAAAATTCTTCAAGTAACATTATAATTGTCGACTGTGAAAAGCTGTTGGTAAATGCCAAATTCATTAAGAGATGTATATAATTTATATGAGGATGTGGATGCATGCTATCTTTTGTTTTCAAACATATTTTCCTATATATTAAGGGCACAGATTCTATTAGAAAGATTTTATTGATTATACATGTTTTAACGCCTAAAATGCACATACACTGTGTGTCTTTGGCACAGAGAGTATGCAAGTTCCTCATTCCTGAAAGAGATTAGTAAGCATGGACTCTTGCAGCCTGTGTAGTCCCAACGAGTGCATTCCCTGGAAAATCCCTTTAAATGTTATTATGTATAAAATACATGCAAAAGTTAATTCTTTAAAATAATGAATTCCAATATTAATGGTTGCAATTGTCAAAGGATAAATGTAAATGACTAAAACTTCTCATTTATATCTAATTTTTCACTTCTGATTAAGAAGAGAGATTAATGCAAACAACAACCAGTTTCTAAAAGCAATCTGATTAATTAACTCGTTTAAACACAGTTAAAAGTAGAATAAATACATTAACTGACATGCTGAAAAATATAAGACTATTCTGTATAATGATATAAATCAATCACAACAGAAAAGGAAAAAAACAAACTGGGTTTCTGAAATGAGTTTATTTGCTTTTAGAAGGGACACACAATAAAATATTATTAACAAAAGTACCTTAAATATCTTTCATGTTTGAGCTTGCTAGTTACCCCAGAGTTCATTACTAGTCATCAGCAGCACCATCCATGTAAGGGTAGGCAAGTTCTTTGCCAAACACCAAGACCTCATATTTTAGAACAGCACGATCTTGTAGACACTTAAAACATACCAGAGTTCAAGAAACTTACCATCAGAAATTCGAGAAGGGAGTAACAATCCTCTTCTGCCTAATTCGGCCAGAGCCAGACATCCACCATGCCATGAATTATCCGTTTCCTGGTAACTAATTTTAGAACAAAGACTTTTGTTTATTTCAGCTCAAGTTTTTATGAGTTTCATCTTTCACTGACAACATTTTGGCAGATGCATAATCCAAATCACTATATACCTGCCTCTAAACTTGAAAAACAAGGAAAGAAAACACAGCAACTACAACTACAGACCCTTGAATCTCCAAGGAAAATTTATTTGTGGCACCTCTAAATTAATCATGTAGCACAGCAGGAATGCCACAATGATGTGGCACTTCCAATACAAAGTCCCTGATTTCAGGCCCTTAATTTTTTCTAATGTTACCTGTGAGGTGATATTTCTCATTTTTCTCCAGACATAGGTGATTGTTTTTGGAAAAACTGAAGTTAATGTATTTGGCAAAGTAAGTGTTAAACAAAATTTGTGGTGAGTTATGAAAACTGTTTACACTCTTTTTGGTACCCAATTATCCAGAAAAAAACAGTTAAGACCTTGAAACTCTAGACACACATGATTTGAATCTACGCTTGATCTTGTCTGAAAACACTACATTCAGGGAAAATAATTTTTTACAAAAATAATCATAATGTATATGCTCAGTGATTTTATTTTCCCTACACATTGTGTACATGTGCAAACAGGGCACCCACATTTCCCCCAGTATTCATTCAGCTCCTTTTTATGTTTATTTGATCAAGATCATTAGAGTACAACAAATCGAAAAGTGAGTACTGAGGCATTTATTTCACTCCTTCACTCTAACTTTTCTTTCTTTTAAAATTCAAATAAAAAGATTAACACTAAAAATAATGAAACATTAAGAAATTAAAAATCAGACGTTTCAAACATGCCATTAAAATTATGGTTCTTCTTGTATAGTATTTGCAGCACAAGTAGCAATTCCTGTACCAGGTTGCTCAACATTTCCTACTATAAGACTCTGTTTCCAGTCACATACAACTGCCAGCCTGAAACCATTCAGTATAAACTGTTCCATGATAGATCCCTGCCTGAAGTTGAATTTTTTGAAGGTTTCAATTATAATAATTCAAATTTATCTCAGAATGTTGTAGCAAAAATAGTTACTTTTCTCTATGTTTCTTTGTTCCTTGTTTTAGTATTAACCCCTGCATTCTGTAACTTTCCACCCACATGGTACAGGATAGCCCACTACGTATGTCTTATAGGATGCTCAGGTTTTGGTTTGAAATGACCAATCAAAATGTAACACGTCAACTGAAAAAAATGCTAGCTCAATAAAAGCCACGTGCGCTCTTTGTTTAGGGTCGGCACTGATCTGAGCAACAAGCTCCTCTGTCGGCCTGCTTGCAAGCAATAAAATAGAGTTGGACCCAGCCTGAAAGTGTGACTCTCTTCTAGAGGTGAATTGGACTAGCCTCCAGGGGATAGAATCAGGACTAGCCTCCAGGGGACAATTTATGCAACAATGTGGCTAAGAGGAAAAAGAATGCACTGTTTTGCAAATGTTAACATAGATTTTACAGTTGTTTCTTCAAAAATCTTTGGTACATGAATGCACTGGCACAAGGGCATGATATCTGAAAGGGGATTCACCCCCATGTCAGGGAAGCATTTTTTGCTTTTCCCATGAAGTTTATTCGTATTTGATCAAATTTGTAACCTCTAAAAAAAGGTTTGTATATATCCTAATGTTTGGCAGCTAAAATAATCTTAACAAATGCATCTTCCCTGAACAATTTCCATGGTGTTAACTTTTCCTGCACTACAGAAAAATTTCATAAAACTGCATTCTCCAAATTGAATCGGAACCCTCCAAATCGATTCAGAGAAATTTGGAAAGATTCTGCGATTCAGCTATAGACACAGCTTTAAATGTTTTTTCTACATGCCTCTAGGTAGCAGGCGGCTCATG